GTGCAGCAGTAAAAAGGCTAGCCGTAGATAGTAAAATGCCCCTGCACGACGCTGTCAGAAACACTGCTGCGAATCCGACGCCGTCTGCAGACTTAGAGCCATCTGTGTAACACAGCGGTGGCATGAGAATGGGAGTGGAAGTGATCAAGAAAAAGAAGGGGGAACCCCGAGGCTTGGCTTTCGAGCAAGGGAGTGAAAAGAACAACCCAAACTGGAATTTCCCCGGGGGGTGGGGGAAAAGTGGACACATGAACAAAAAAAGGGTAATGAAGGGAAAAAAAGGTGAATGTAGGCAAGAAAAAGGGGACGGAGCAAACAGGGCGGCAAAACGAAAAAAGAATGCTCAAAATTCGTGACCATTCATAAAGGAAGATGTTGATGGAAGCTACATAGTATAAAGGGAAAGGGGCATCAGGGCGATCAGAAAAAGGAGGGAAACATGTTTTCTGCATAGAGGCCTAACGGGGGAAAGCGAAAAGCCCAAGGACAAAACGTATTCCCTTGGTGATGGATAAGTTAAGGGTTTAGAGAGAGTAGCAGTAAGGCCGCGGAATAAATCGGGGCCCACCATAATCGATTTTCGATAAAACGAGGGCTAAATTGGGCAAGCAGATTCGCGATCACTCCCCAGGAAAGAACGGGGTTTTAAAAAGGGTTTTAGCCGGCGTGACATTTCCCTTCAGAGGGGTAATGTGGGGTTTTCCGGGATAACCACGTCAAAAAAAGGCCTAGAACCTACTGTATCACTTGGGGGGAACGGAGCCAAGAGATACAAAGATGATCGGAACAACAAGCACTAGTAAAGTAATTTGGTGATTTTGGTATTTGAAAATTTAAACTTGTCTGTCCCCCAAGGGGAAAAACAGGGTCGACCGCATCGGAGAGAAACCAAAAAGATAAACAGTCAGCCCTGCAAAAGCAATAGTGAAGTCATCAACATAGAGTGATGACAAATTTGGGTGGAAGAAAGGGGGCCAACATTTATCAAGGAAAAAAGGTTGTCTTAAAACACATCCCTGAGGACCCCTTCAGTTTGGACAAAGCCCGGGGGAAAGAACATTTTGTTTAACAGGAAATGTCTTCATTAAAAATTCTTAAGGGAAAGGAGGTAATTGCCTGGGACCTAAGAAGGGGCCTGGGCCAAATATTATACCTCCAATTGTGTCAATCCCTTTCCCAAAAGGTCAAAAAATATGGCAATAATATGTTTATCGCAAAGGCTTTAAAACGAACATACGTATCCAAGCGAAAAGGGGGTCTAGGTAGAACACCCTTACGAAAGCCATATTGACTAGGGAGAGACTTTTTGTGTTCTCTAAAACCACAGTCTTTCACGAGACGTTCCATCATTTGCAAACTGCACTAAAAGAGCGATGGACGATAGTGGAGCTCTTTTCCGGTATACCCGTTTTGCGAAAGGGAGAACAATGGCAATTTCCACGCGGGGGAAAACTCCTTGTGCCCAAAAAGATTGAAAGGTGTAAGGGGACCCCAAGGGCGCCCCGTTTAAAATTTTTAAACAACAAATTTGAAGTCGTCGGGGCCCAGCTGCCTGATGGGCAACTGAAGCTTGCCTCTATTTCTTGAAGTGTAAAAAGGCAATTAACGTTCTTCACTGGATAAAAAAAGGGGAAGAAAAACGGGAAGTAATCAGTGTCCATTGAAGGTTAGCTCTGAATAATTCTAAAAGGCTTCAAGTTTTTTGATTCAAAGATGTATGGGAACCATATTGGGATAGAAGGGGGAGGTGAGTAAAATTGGGCAGTAATGGGCTGTACCAAAGTAGAGGGGGGGGGAAGAGTGTAAGGACGGGGGATGAAGTTGGGGGGGGGGGACAGAAGAGGAGAAAACCTGGGGGGTGGCAGAAGAGGAGAAAAATTGGAGGGATGGGGGGGGAAGGCAATACAGAGGGGGGGACCCACACTTTTAATAAAGCCAAGAGAGGGAAGAACAGGACAAACGAAAGGAAAAGTGGAGGTGGGAAGAAGGGAAGGAAGGGCAAAGAAAATTTAGCAATGTGATTTGGGACTTCGAGAATAAGGGGGAATTGTATTATGTCGTAGAGGTCTGTCGATACTGGGCTTGGAGGAAGGGCCAAAAAGATTTAGAACAACTGATTGTCAGGACGTCAGAGCCAAGGACAGCAAAAGGATTAGATCCCAGGGGGTAGGGGGGGTAAAAACAGAGAGCCCAGAAGATGGGGCCCCAGAAATGGGGGGGTGTTTGGAAAAAGGGTTCTCCCTTAGCGAGAGAGTAACTGCCAAGCAAAGGGAGACCTTCTCCCCCTTTTAGGCAACGGGTTTACTTCATTTTAAATAGACCCGGCAACGCGGGGGTACAAGGGTGAGCTTCATTACAATTTTAAGGGAAGATGGGGTTGACTGCAAGATTATTAAATGGGGCGTCGGCACCCAACTGGGCATTCGGCCATAGACGCAATATTTCTGGGGGACCAAAACGCCAGCAATTTCACATTTTTCGGTGTAGGTATCCCTTTCGAACTTTTAAACCCATGCCCGCACATAACAAAGGGCGGGATTCTCGCGCAAAATTAAAGAGCCACATTGCAAGGGGAACGCTTCCCCGTTCAAAAATTCATTGCCACATACTGAAAATTTTGTTGGACTAGGGGTGGGCAAATGCGTCCACTACAAGAATTGGAAAAGATGTTTTTTATAGTGATAAATAGTATCGAATCAAAGGGGAAAAATCATGACTTGGGGACATTCTGGGCAGTGACGAGCGCGACCGCCTTAAAGGGGAGAAATTTTTAAATCTCTACCAACATGACCCCGGAGCGCTTTGCCAAAACTATGGTCAAAAGGGAGGCAAAAAGAAGAAGTCGTCTAAAAATAAAAAATTTAGTCCATTGTGTGGGGCCGAAACTGGCATGGGGAGGGGGTGCTTGAAGTGTCGGTCTTTTCCGAGTAAATGGGAAGGTAACGAAGGAGCACATCAGGAGATTGACGTTGGGGCTTTGGAGTAGGAACCCGGGGTTGGCCGGCGTGAAATGGCGGCGATTTTAAAATTGCCGACGAAAAGGGGGAACCGGGAAACATAGTCAAAGGGAAACGAGTTCAACAAATCGAAAGGGGTCTCGAAAAAAGCCCGGTACTTTAAACGGGGGAGGGAAAAAAACACCACAAGAGGGGACGGGGGCCAAGAGTGGGCAAACACAAGGCAGGGGCAGAAGGGGTGGGGATCAAGAAGGGGCCCGGAATGGGGTTTATAGTTGGGTTCTCCATGTTAGGTACTCCTTTTGTTTTTGTTTTAAAAAAAAAAGAAAAAAAAATAAAATAAAAAAAAAAAAAAAATAAAAAAAAAAGGGGGGGGCGGGGAAATATTCCCAGGGGAAAGAAAGGCCGAAACTCCCTCCGCGCCCAAGGACCCCCGCACCGCTAACCAGTGCACATGGAACCCGTGCCATAAAACCCCACCCTTCAAAGCCGTAAATCCATTTCCGGAAGCAACCTCCATCTGCCGACACCTCGGGACAAAAGAGAGGGGGATGGAATCCCCACAAACATACCTCCTTCGCCCCCACCCCCGAATCCGAAGGGGCTTCCCGAGAACACCCTCGCCTAAAAGACACCCAAAGCACTCCGGGTACCGGGGAGGGACGGGACATCCCCCCCGGATCCAGATTTCCCTGCAAACTACGCCACCCCCCCCCAAAAACCTCAAGGAAGGGGGTGGACCCCGTGTCCTTTCCCCCCCCTAGGAATAGCACGCCTGTGGGAGAAATCCCAAAGGCCAAAAAAAAGGAAGGGGAAAAGGGGGGGTGGGGAGGGGGGAGGAAGGGAAAAAGGGAGGGGGGGAAAAAGGGGGGGGGAGAATGGGGGGGAATTAGTTCGGTCTGGGGGAAACCGACGGGGCTAATTTCCCAGACCAAAAAACACTCCAGAGTGATTATTATTATTACTTTATTTATTTCTATCATTTCCTCGACTACCTTTTCACTGATTAAAAACCCTTTCTTAAGCTGCCACGATACACCAAGAATATAAACAAAGACGAACACACCAGCTAACCTTTTTACTGTGAACTTCTTTTGCACTTCTTCCATTTTCCTCGTGTTTTTCCACTTCCAAGTGCTGCTGTACTTCTAACTCTTATCTTCTACTATGGGATGCACAATAAAGTACAAATTTGTAGACAAAATATGTAGTCCTGGAGACTGCTTGATGCTGAGATGCATCACTAACCCTTTTACAATGAACTTTTGTACTTCCTCCTCTTGGAGGGAGCAAGGGGCTAGTAACCTTATCTCCTGTATAAATTACTAAATTTAAAAAGAGAAATACACAAATAACCCACACATAGGAGAGAGGAGCTTATGACGTTTCGGTCTGACTTAGACCATTTACAAAGTACAAGTCGGACTGAAATGTCGTCATAAGCTCCTCTCTCCTAGGTGCAGGTTGTTTGTGTATTGTTCCAGTCATGGTATTGTGCCTTTTTGTTATTTAAGAGAAACTTTCGTTTTTCTTTATGAGCCACCCTGCCTTGGTGGGATACAGCCAGTTTGTTGAAAGAAGAAGAATGTAGTCCTGCAGATTGTGATAGCTAGTATACCGAGTGGCTTTAGGAAAGGGATTCAGATGTTTGACGCTGAGACGGTGTGCTGCCCATTCATGACATAAGTTCTCGTACAGTACACAATAACGACTTCTCAGAGCCTGTCGGAGTTGTCGATAAACGAGTACGTCGGTAAGTGAGGAGAGGCTGTAAGTGTAAAGACAAAAATGTTCTGCTATCATCTGTAGCCACAATAAACTCACTATTTACTCCTTGAAAGCTTCATCTATTTGATTAAATTGTGGAAACATTGTAATATTTTGATTACTATCATAAAAATAGAAAAAAGTGGAAAAGATTTTCTTCAGTGAAAGATGAATACCATAAAAATAACCTTTATCCTCTACGGCAATATACAGTAGGACCCCTGTATCTGCAGGGGATAACTTCCAAGACCTACCGTGGATATGCAAAACTGTGGATAGTAGTGAACCCTACATATAAGTCATTTATTGTTTATATACACAACTATGATAAAGTTTATTTGGTAAATTACACATAATAAGTGGAGAATTAGCAGTTTTTCACTGATGGTAAGGACTTTGCAGCTTCTCTTAGGCTTTGAAAAACTGCCATCATCACTACTTTTACACTTTGGTGCCATGGTAAACCACGGAAGCTGGACCCACGGATATGGCTGTACTACTGTATGTCAAAGGAAAAATAATATAGATCTCAAACAATATAATGTGAATATTTTCAGTGACACATAAAGTGGCCCCAATTCCTACTGGTAAGAGACAACTTTAGTAAGCAGAATTTACTCTTGCTGAACATGGTGCTGTGAATTCCACAGTTTAGTATAATATCCATCTTGAGCAAGAAGGTGCTCATGTGTGCCACTCTCTGCGACTTGACCCTCATGCAAAACAAGAATTTCGTCTGCATCAATAACAGTTGACAAACGATGAGCAATGCATATTGATGTTCTTCCCTTTGTTGCATACTTCAGGGCACCCATTATATTCTGTTGGTTAAAAACAATGTTTTAGTTTCTTTAATAAGGATAATCAACAGCATACCATACACACGACATAAGCTAAAGATGAAAATTTATTGTGAATGTAGATGGATATCTCTCACTAGTGGCTGTGCTACTGTTGAGAGAATTTAGTCCCACAGATGCAATTACTTTTTAATTAATCTAATTTTTAAAATGCCAATGTCATATGTGGATCATCATAATACAGAACATAAGTCAGGGACCTACCATACTCTACTGGATTGTATAAGTTATATCGCTGGTGTTTATATTATGCTACCATAAAATATCAACAGGGATCACAGTACAGTAGGGAATCCTTTATCTGAAAATCTAAGAGTTTTGTGATGACCTGATGCACCACAAATGAGTCATTCAGTGCAAGACATGGTGGAGGCTCAATCTTCCATCTATTGAACCAAGACATACGAGCTTCAAATTCGTATTAGTGCCAGTTTACTGTCAGCAGGAATTACTCGCTGATTACCATGTGGTTTGTGCTCTATGGTATGAAAATACAGTGGACCCCCGGTTAACGATATTTTTTCACTCCAGAAGTATGTTCAGGTGCCAGTACTGACCGAATTTGTTCCCATAAGGAATATTGTGAAGTAGATTAGTCCATTTCAGACCCCAAACCATCCACGTACAAACGCACTTACATAAATACACTTACATAATTGGTCGCATTCGGAGGTGATCGTTACGCGGGGGTCCACTGTATTGCTGAAAATGTCGAAAAGGCCTATGGGTAATAGTGAAAAGAAAAAGAGGAAGCATTTATATAAGTATGAAGTGTCTGACTAAGGAGTCTGGCATTGAACAACCACCATCTACCACCTAAAGAACTAGAAAGACAAATTGTTGAAGTTCTATGCTGAAAGTGATGAACAGAAGTTAACAAAAATTAGTAAAACATGGAGTAAATTTGTCAGTGTTGGAGTGAGCGTATGCTGATCATGAAACAAGCAAAAATCTATCATGACAAACTGAATATTGAAGGTAACTGAATATTTAGCACGCTGGTTACAAAAATTTAAGAAAAGGCATGGCATTAAATATTTAAAGATTAGAAGTGATTAAAGTATCTGATCACGAAGCAGCAAAGAAACTCGTTAATGTGTTTACCAAGATTATTACTGATGAAAACCTAACAGCAGAACAAATCTACAATGCTGATGAGACATCACTGTTCTGGCATTAGTGCCCCAGAAAAACAATGACTACAGCTGATGAGAGAGCTCCTACAAGAGTTAAGGATGCCAAGGACAGATAAACTGAGATTAAGGTGCCAATAGATAACATGGTAAAAATGTGTGATGGACTTACTGAAGGACTAGAGAAGCAAGCATTCATAACAGAACAAGAAATCACGTCAGTGTATAAAATCAAAGAAAGACTGCTACGACAAAAACCACCAAGGCAGATAACACTGAAAGAAACATTAAAAAAAGCCATCCAGCACAGTGTTTCCTCATTCCTAGAGCATCCTCTTCAAGTCCCTCAACTGCTTCTAATGTTCCTCCTCAAAAGGATGTCATGGATGAGGTAACCCTCTCCCTCAAGTTTCTTAGACCTGGCACAGTTGTAGTGTCTGGGTTTGATCATGTTTTTTGGTATAGTACCTGTGCAGTACAGTACCATGTTTAGACTTGGGTCCAATTCCCTAGCTTCTGTCCCATTTTACAGATGCAAATACAGCCTCTCCTCACTTAATTATGGAGTTCTGTTCATAAGACCACATCGGTGAATGAATTCATTGCTAAGTGAGGAGCATACTATAATATACTTTTATACCTATAGTTTTATACCTTCGAAGAGCTGTGAGAGTTTGTCTACTCTCGGAGCCCGGCCATGGGCCAGGCACGTCTGGTGCTTGCCTGGTCAACCAGGCTGCTGCTGCTGCTGCTGGAGGCCCACTGCCCCACATATCCATCACAGCATGGTTGATCTGGCACCTGGTGAAGACACTTGTCCAGTTTCCTCTTGAAGGCTTCAACACTTGTTCCAGCTGTGTTTCTGATATCTTCTGGTAAGATGTTGAATAGTCTGGGACCCCAGATGTTGATACAGTGTTCTCTTATTGTCCCCACCGCACCCCTGCTCCTCACTGGGTTTATTTTACACTTCCTCCCATATCTCTCACTCCAGTATGTTATGGCAGTGTGCAGATTTGGGACCAGGCCCACGAGTACTTTCCAGGTATACAATATTATGTCTCTCTCTCTCTCTCTCTCTTCCTCTCCAATGAGTACACGTTCAAGACTTGAAGGCACACCCAGTAATTTTGGTGTTTTACTGGCTCAATGTGAGCCGTAAACGATCTTTGTATTTGTTCCAGCTCTGATATTTCTCCTGCTTTGAACGGGGCCATCAGCACTGAGCAATATTCTAAACGAGGGAGCACTAGCGATTTGAGGAGCGTCACCATCGGCAATATTTCTCGTTCTGAAAGCTCTCAATACCCACCTTATCATCTTCCTGGCTGTCGTGATCTTTGTCTTGTTATGGTCTTTACAAGAAATGTCGGCTGACATAATTATTCCCAGATCTTTTATGTGTTCCTTTTGTTCTATTTGGTGACCCTCTTGAGTTTTGTATATAGTGTTCCTTTTGAGTTCTTCATTCTTTCCATACCTAAGCAGCTGGAACTTATCACCATTGAACATCATGCTGTTCTCCACTGCCCACTGGAAAACCCTGCTTATGTCTTTCTGTACTTTTTCAGTGTCCTCTACCGTAGTGACTTTCATGCTTATTTTAGTATCATTTGCAAATGATACAAAAGTGTGCCAGGTGTTTTTATCTGTATCTACTATGAGGACGAGAAACAGCAGAGGTGCCAGGACAGTGCCTTGGGCTGCTTAGCTTTCGACCTTGATGATGCTGGATTTTGCCCTGCTCACTACTACTTTTGTGTTGTGTGTGTTAGTAACCTGAAAATCCATCTAACTTCCCTGTAATGCCCATGGCCCTCATTTTGTGCGCTATCACTCCATGATTGCATTTGTCAAACGCCTTTGCAAATTCTGTATAAAACACATCTACATTTTGGTCGTCTTCCAGTGCCTCCATAATTCTGTCATAATGGTTCAGCAGCTGTGACAGGTATGACCATGCTGGTTCAGGTTATGCTGGTTGTGCTTGTCCATGAAATTTGTAATATGCCATCTCATCACTCTTTCAAAGATTTTTATAATATGAGAAGTTAGGGCTATTGGTCTGTAATTTTTAGCTAGTGCTCTACTATCTCCCTTATGCAAAGGAGCTATGTCTGCACTCTTTAAGGCCTCCAGTATTTCACCTAGCTCTAAGCTCTTTCTCCAAAGAATACTGAGGACTCGTGCTAATGGTACTTTGCACTTCTTTATAAATAGAGCATTCCATGAATCTGGTCCAGGTGCTGAGTGAGTGGGCATGTTGTCCATTTCTTTTTCGAAATCAATGGGACTAGTACTACTGTCAATTGGTTGGTCTGCACAGCCGTCTGCTGGAGTGAAAAATATTTCTGCGTTTTCTACCTTGCTGTCATTTAGTGGGTTGCTGAACACTGACTCATACTGTTCTTTTAGGATTTCACTCATTTCCTGTTCATAGTCACTTTTTAATGTCACATTTGCACCATTTATAACATTTCTGGTATATTTTTAAATGTTCATACAGTAGTGTACTGTATACTGTAATAAACAGAATAGAGGAAATCAGCTCTAATATACATTATTTAGGTATGCATACTGGTCAGAGTACCTGTCGTAAGTCTGTGTCGTCAGTAACCAAGTATGTCACTAAGTGAGGAGAGGCTATATACAAATATTCCACAACCTAAAAAAAAAAAAAAAAAAAAAAAAAAAAGCTTCCTGTCCCAAGCATTTCGGATAAAGGATTCTCAACTGTACAACATTACAGATACAATAATTAGTAGATTTTTTTACCACTCCCTCTACAACGCTAGGGGATGTCCAGAATGGTATCAGAAGTAACTAATCTCAGAAATTTATACTTAGGTACTTTTCTGATTTTTAAGGGGGATTTCTTTTTGTCAATACACATTTCAAAAGGTTTCACATGCAGTTGCCTGTGGGCAGAATAGTTGAACCATGTTATCACAAGAATTCTTAAAATAGAATATCTCTATGGTGGGCTGATCATTTCAGGGTGTGCACAAATTTCTCCAGTAAACACACCAATACAAAATTAAAAACCATTTCTCAAAAATGAAGCGGAACTTTTTTTTTTTTTAAGTGAACCTAGAGCTGAAACCAGGCAAGAGTCAGGTGTCAGTGTCAGGTGTTTAAGTACTATAGATGACAATTAAACATGCATTATTTTATTCCCTATTTAGATATAATTCAACACTAACAATGTATAACCAGAATATAATTCCACAAGTCTTGTGCATGCTTACTTGACTAATAAGAAACAAAACAGCCTGAGAAAGTATGTGAATACGAGAAACATGACTGTGCTGGGGCTGGCCACAAGATGACATGGGCTGCTTTTGTAGCTCCACATTAATTAAAAATTGAGTTCTTCCTTCACTGCACATTTTTATAATACAGTGGTACCCTGAGTTTTGAACTTTCTTCGTTCCAAAGGCTGTTCGAGTGCTGTTACCGAACGAATTTGTTCCCATAAGGAATAATGTATATTAGATTAGTCTGTTTCAGACCCCCAAAAATGCACTTACAAGAGCACTTACAATAATATACTTGCATAATTGGTCAATTTGGGAGCAGTTCAAAACTCGGGGTACCACTGTACATATAGACACTATTTCTAGGTTGGTAAACAGTAATCACCCAGGAAGGTACTACCGTCCTGTAGTACCTCCCTGGTACTACCATCATGTAATTGTTTTACATGATGCTAGGATTGCTGGTGTCTTTTTTCTGTCTCAAACATGCAAGACTTCAGGTATGTCTCGTTACTTCTACTTACACTTAGATCACACTACACTTGCATGTACAAGCATATATATACACACC